AAAAAAAACAACACAGATCCTGACAACTATTTTTGTATAGTACAAAAATGTGTCAGTTAAGTCAAGTCAAGTCAACTTTATTTATAGAGCACATTTAAAACAGAACCTGTTATCAAAGTGCTTAACAACAACAACAACAATCGATGAGTAAAATTAAAGGAAAAAAAATATCTATATATATATATATAAATACAATACACTAATAATAATAACTGAAGAATTAATAAAAAGCATTTAAAACATAGGGTCACAGATAAAAAAAAAACACTAACTCAGTTTACAGTGTGTGAAATGTATGCAAGAACAGATGTGTTTTAAGCAGGAATTTGAAGTGAGGAAGGGAGGTGGCCTGCCTGATGTTGGGGGGCAGGTTGTTCCAGAGCTCACATTGATTTTTACATTTAAATGTACCCCACGATCTGCAGGTTTTATTAATCTGAAGTCCAATAGAGAGTAAAGATCCCCCCCTGCAAACACACACACACACAAAGAGAGCAGCTTCCCTTAAACAGTTTTCATTTACTTTAGGCCTCCCGTATGCAGCTGGTGGATCAGTAAGAAAATTCAGGTGTTCCTGTATCAACCCCCTCCCCACATATCAAGAGCAGGAGAAGGTGTATGGCAGGATGTAGTTTGAGTGTAATCTAAAACTGACTCTGTCACTGATAACTGGCCTCAACATCACTTTTTGTAAACTGATCAGCAGCAGGAGGGAAGAAAATGACTCGGATTGATAAAAACAGCCGCACTAAGAACCAACCTGCAGTAGAAACCAAATGTGTGCAGATTGACTGGCTCAAACTCAATACCATCTGCGATCTGAGATTAATTTACAACGTTGTTTACAGGAATAATAAAATCTAAATGAGTCACTTTTTAAGTTTATGTTTCTGAAGCTTCTCATTCATTTTAAAGTTTTCGTTTATTTTGACTCAGACCTTGAATTTTTTTTTTAACTTTGCTGCTGAAAATCTAGTTTTATTTTTTTTTTTAATGCAACTGTTAGAAGCAATTACAGTTTTCAGATGTTTTAAAAATACTACAGACACATTTAATCTTAATCTAGACCACATACAGTGCCAACATCTGGATCTGTTTTTATTATTTAACCCTTTTCTTGTAATCAGACTTTCTTGTAACCTATCAGTATCATAATGTTTTCAATGTTTTCCCATAAACTTACCTAAATACAAAGTATTTTCAGAACTGTTTTTTAATCATTATATTATATTTTTTATTAGTAGAGTTTGCTTGTACCTTTTGAATCAGTAATAAAAACAAACAAAAACTTTGCTTTCCAAGATAATCTACATAAATATATATATATATATATATATATATATATATATATATATATATA